TTCTGTAGCTCTGTGGTGCCAATGAACATTTTGGGCTTTTCTTGTAAACTCTATTACTTTGCAAAGGATGGTTGTGTAGAGCTGGGAGATGTCTCATTTTAATCAGAAATTTCCGGGCTACAATTGCACCTCTTTAAGAAAACTTTTAGTTATTCTCTAGAGTTTCTGGAAAACTGGTTTTCTAGAAAACTCAGTCTACCAAGACTTAGCAACAAAAACCATTGTCATATTCGGATTCAGCACACCCGATTACCTATTTTCCAGTGAGTCTTAGCCTAAAAGCGATTAGACAGTTGGTGTCCTTTCCTCGTTAGTATTAAATTTTTCGGAATTTCTACAATGTCGAAAATTGATCTTTTGATTCTGATCCTATTTTGTTCAAGTTTCTGATTTTTTCCCGGGCCACTTTTTCTCGGCTCGGTCCGTATCGGCGTTCAGGAATTTTGGCCCGAGAGAACGCATAAACTTTTCGGAGCTACCCGTATTGGTCGGACCAAATACATTTTATATTCTGCGGGCCGACCCGCGGCCTAGTCCGTATAACCTAGATTAATCAGAAACTCTAGTATCTAGAACGAATGCTTAAAGAACAGGCAACTTCGTTAGACATTTTCAAACGAAAATAGTGTCAGTGTCACCCATCAAGAACTAAACCCAGTTGAAAATAATTGCCACTCACAGAAATTCATTGACTTCTTCTGTATTTGTTCGAATAGGAAAAAAGAATGGAACAACACACAACGTCTTATTATTCTGACTCTAGTCGTGCTCTTAAAAATTTTATTTGTAGTAAAAAAAGTCAAAAGCCTAAAGTTCACATTGTTACACAGCTTGTTTTGTATTGTCTATTGTTGTATATCACGCGTCTTTTCACTCTATTTTTGTACGCAATTTGTTGTTGGTTCTTGAAAATTTTCAGTTCTACAGGTAGCTCTCTTCCCAAGATATCCGATTTCGATGATGAGAAAACGTCGATGCATTATCTACAATTTTTATGAAAATCACTTTATATAACTTAGAATCACCTTATCGGGATATATTATCAGATGCAATATTAAAACTTCAAGATGAAGGTCTAATTCAACAATACTATAATAAATGGTGGAAAGAAGAATCAAATGTTAAATGTGATACGGATGATAAACGAGGATCAATAATTGCAAGTGAACTCGGTTTTGTCAATGTTGGAGGCATTTTTTTAATATTAGCCGTTGGTTTAATCATGTCAACATGCGTCGCCATTATTGAATTTACTTGGAAAATTCGTAACAAAAAAGGACGACACGTAAGAAGAATGTTTTTTTTATTCTTAAAGAAAATTAATATCTAGTATATTTCTTAGATTTCCATATGCAAAGAAATGAGGCGTTATTTTCGTTATGCTGTTTTCAATATTGGCTCGGGTGAACGTCGTGCAAGTATTTATGTAAAAACTACACCGTTCCTAGAAACAATTCATAAAAGTCCAAAACTGAATAATCGTCTGTATGATTAAAAATTTTAAATCAAATTTCTCCTTTTAATTTATTGTATATTTTTATACAATGAAAATTCTTTTCTCGAATCAGAAATAATTATAATCAGTTAATTTTTTTTAATCAAACATATGAACTGCTTGGCTTGTTCAGCTAACGGTAACCCATGCATCACCAAAGCTTTATCATCTGTAAGTCATCTGTAAATTTGTACCGATGACACACTCACTCAAATTTGTTCCACACATCATAAGTACAAGTATAAATGAGCTAGATTTATCCTTTAGATAAGTTTTCTTTGCAGTGTATACTTAACAAAAACTTATCGGATGCAATGAAAGGATGTCATCGCGTTACCATAATTTTGATCTGTAGATAAACAGTCAGATCCTTGATTAAATTTTCGATCTGATATTTCAAAAGCCCTACGTTATAACTAAACACCATCCATTGGACACTTTCATTAATATCACCTACACTTAGAGAAAATCAGAACTCTTTAACTGCCACTGGAAAGTACTTCCATTTTCGATCATCCGACCGTTACCAAACGTATAAACGCTGTAGTATTTGAATGCTAAGTAGTAACTCGAATCAAATTTTCAGTATTTAATCGTATCATTAAATACTGGCAACAAATTTCATTTTACTAAGATAAAATTGTTGTGTTTATAATATACGCATTTATTTATAATAGATAAACCAAAAACAAAAGAAAAATAGCACATATACGTACCTAACAAAACTTGTAGAAAACAAACTATTTTTTAAAAAATAATGTGTAGTCTAAATTGTCGTGAAGAGAGAAGAAAACCATTTTTTAAATTTTACTAGCACAACAAGAAAAAAAAGATATCAGATCTATACATGACTAAATAATTGCATCAAAAATGATAAACACAAAACTAACTTTGTGTATTCATGTTGACAATCAAACAAACTAACAAATAAATGGATTACATTAAGAAAAAAAAAGAAATGACGGTGGGTGGTCTGGCTAAACAATTGATTGTTTCTACCGAACTGTTTGAGGAAACAAATGCAATTTTTTATTTTTGATTAAATTTTGCGAACAAACATAGAAAATATAGATTTTATACAGATTTCTATTATATTCATTTAGTGGCAAGAATATAAGATTTGATTTTAATATAGAAACATCAAATATCAATAGAAATAAAGTCAAAAAACAAAAAAGATACTACACTTAAGTTTGACTACAGAACAAAATTTACAGCTTAATTTTATCTTTCTTAGTTCGATAGTTTCAGTTTTAAAATAATCGAATCGAATTTATTTCGTTTGTGTTCTGAAGAAACGAAACTTGGATAAAAGAAAATACGGTCAAAAGATGAGATTAAAAAAAAAGCATGATAGAGGTTACGAACACGTACAGATCTTAGCATACAAACACAAAAATACGTCATATTATCAATTACTACTCTTTATACAAAAGTACTAGAAGTACAGTAAGAGAATTTTACAAAATATCAGTTTAGTTGTAAATAAACGCAGAAAGAGGAAGAAAAGACAAAAAGGAGAAAAAAATATATATGTAATATATAAATATATGTGACATTTATAAATATAATATATATTCACAGACGAAAACAAACAAACTACGCTATTGAGGCACATTATTTAGAACAAAAAGATAGCCAACAAATAATTGCACACTGATGAGAAAAGATGCGAAAAAACAGGTTTTTGTTTTGATTAAATTGGAATATAGATAGATATATTGACAACAGAAAATACTATCAGTATAGTCAAGAAGATGAAATAATCAAACGAAATATGAGATCTGTAATAAAAAAAAAACGCAAACGTTTGCTTTTATATATGATGAGAGGAAGACAATAGTATTCTTCATTTAAAAATTAGATAAACTTCGATCAGTATTTGTAGTTGTTTGTGGAGGCGATGATAGACTATCATCTGCATTTTTCGGCGTATTTTTTCGTTCTTTTGAACGTTTATTTTGAAACCAGACCTAAACATGAATTTTTTTCTAGTGAATTACAAATATATTTGTTGATATCATACATACCTGTATAACTCTCATACTTAAACCAGTTTCGGCAGCTAGTTGTTCACGTTGTTGTTTAGTAGGTTTCGGACAAACATCAAATGATCGACGTAACACCTAAACAGAGAAGATAAAATCAAATAAGAAGCTGATCTATCTAACTACGGTAACAGTAGTTTACCTCTAGCTGTGGTGCTTTTATCGTTGTTCTTCCGCCTTTTTTTGCATTGCTATCATTTGCTGATGAGTTTCCTGCACCACTCTGATTTAGATTCATTTCCATTTCACCTCCAGAACCATCTGAATCAGTTCCACCGCCTACCGGACACGTGCTACTCGTTTGACGAGGCTTTTTTCCATTACATATTTTACCGTCCATATCGTCGTCACCTTCATCTTCACTCGAATCTGTCGTTGTCGGTGGATTAGAGTTCTTGTTTACCGTTATATTTTCAGTAGAGGGTATATAATTTATGTTTATATTATTCACTTTAGATTGTGATGAAGGTAATTGCTGTTGTTTTGCTTGTTGATTTTTAGCTCCTTTCGATTTTTGTATTTTGTTTTGTTGATGATCATTTGCGGGCTTTTCTGTCAAATTTGTACTACCTGACATTGGTAGAGTAGACATACCATTATTTTGAGGTAAGAAATTCATGTGTTGTGACGTTGGAGGTTGACTAGGATGTCCAAATCTAAAACATTTAAAAGTAATTTACGTACAAATTTTATAAGAGCGATTTAGAGCATTTAACAACTTACGCAGGATGAAAGGGTGGATACGGATTGTAACCACTAGCATATGCAGCTGCGGCAAAGGCAGGATTAAATGCAGCTTGGTTGAATGGTAAGTAGGGATGTGGTGGCATCATCATACCATTGGGCGTCATTAACGGACCCATCATCAAATTATTACCATTTGGGGTCGGTATTGATGGAGGCGGTGGAGGTGGCATGCTCTGATGATTTAGTAGACCCATTTTTGTCAATAAATTCTGATGATTTGTCGATTGCTGTGCAACTTGTTGAGGTAAATGTTCAGGTAATTGTGAATATTGATTCATTGGTGTCGTCAACATTCCTCTTGCGGATGCCGATACATCGTGATCATCGCTAGTACCATCCTCTATTTCGTTCACATGCCGTTTTTGCAACTCATTCATTTGTGATAGTGGATGGGGATGTTCTTTAGATTTGCTTTTATTTTCTTGCAAATTCATTTCTTCATTGTCACCTAGTTTCACTTTAGTTTTTTCCGCTTTTGATGTTTTATTTTTCGAACCAAGTTTTCGTCCTTTCTTCTTCGGTTGATTAGTAAGAATATTTTGTGAGACATCAATATTCGATAACATTTGTTGTTGTTGTTGTTGTTGCTGCTGTATTTGCTTTTTCGTTGGTTTTTTATTCAGACTAACAGACTCTGGTGGCGGTTGAGAAAGATTTATCTGGCCACTGGTATCTGGTATTGCACCGGTCATTGGTGGTCGATAAAATGGCATAGGCGGTGAATTTTGATACGGACTTTGTGTCAATCCGGCGCCCGGCATTTGAAACGGAAATGGAAATGGATTTTGTCTCATTTGACTGGAGAGATTATCAGATGTTGCAGCAGAATAATGACCGTATTCAAGTAATGAAGTTAATGGACTTGGTCGAGGATTTGAGGGAGGAGTGGCCGATACTGACGTATTATTGTTATGCTAAAAAGAGAAAAAGAAATTTAACCTAACCTCTCCGATTCATTCTACAGCGCATGATTTAGAAAGTTCGTCTATGATGCCGCTTGTTGTGTGCCGAAGAACTGCACTTTCTGATGGAACTTCTGTGCTAAAATTTATATTTCTAACCAGATAGCACACTGCGTATTAATGGTAGAATTTAGTTATTATAGTTCTATGCGCCAATTATAGAAATGCCTCAAATTCAAATTTTTAATCGTATCGTACTAGTCACACGAGTTTTATTAAGATTTTCATTAGAATTTATTGTAGTATTTAGATAAAAAAGATATGACAAATTTTTTAAAAAGAGAATGCACAGCTTCAAGCTCCTTTTCGTATCATTCCAAATGACTGAAATATTGTTTCTTTATCGACTTTCTCAGCTATTATTTACAGATGTACATACCTGACGGTTGAATTTTGGTGAACCCATTTGTCGAGCAGGGGTTGATGAAGCTTCGGCATTCGTTGAAATATCCATTTGTGATGGACTAAGTGATCTATCCAACGAATCTGTTTCTGATGCGTTTGTTGAATGAGATCGATGCGAAATAGGTGACGATGATAGCTGCTGTTGTAAGACTGAGGCTACTGGTTGTGGTGGTTGTTGTTGTTGTTGTTGTTGTGGTAACATTTGTGGAGGTCTCTGATGCATTGCATGTGGAAACTGTAGACCAAATGATGAATGTTGTGTAGGATGTGGATAATGAGACATTGGATGTGTACCGAACATCGATGATTGCGGTGAAGGAAAATGACTTGCTAAATATGGTGGTATAGCAGAAGTATCGATGGGTTGAGGTAAAGGTTGTTTCATTATCGATGATATCGACATTGGACTGGCAGAAAGTGCTGTTGTTACATCAGTAATTGTATTAGAAACAGTGGTGCTTCCACTTGTTGTAACCGTTGCAGTTGTAGTTAACGTCTCTGGCATGACCGTAGAAGTTTCTGGTGTAGCTATTTTCAATTCTTTTTCTTCTTCATCATCCGATTGTTTCTCATTTAGAAGTTTAAATGAAGATGATCGACTACTACCGTTACTATCATCATTTGTATTTGTTGTTGTATTATTTTCTTCAATAATATTTGATTCTGACGGTTTTTGTTGCAGTTGTCTATCGTTTACTTCACCATTGATCTCCTGATGGTGTACTTCTTCTGCTTTCTCCATGTCCTCTTCCTCTTCTTCCTCATCATCTTCTTCCTCTTCGCTTTCACTATCCGAAAACGGTCTTTGTCGTTTACGAGTTGTTAAACGTTTTTTATTGTTACGAAGATCGACTTTTGTTGTTGTAGCAGCTGCCAAAGCAGCTGCTTTTGAACGCGTTGCTGGTGACGATAAAGTTAAAGGTTTCTTTTTATTGTTTTCAGTTGTGTTATTTGATGATGAATTCTGTTTTGTTCGAGACTTGGATGACTTCGATGATTTTGTACTACTATTATTATTATATTGCTTGTTATGATTACGTGTTTTGGGGGTCTCATTTGAGGATGATGATGAAGATGAATGAGCTTTTATTGGCGATTTATTGTTTCGAAGTGGTGATATGTGATGGTTAGATGTGGGTGATTTATTTTTCAGTTTTGGTGATGATAGAACATTACCCAATTGTTCTTCATTTTCGACAGTACTTTTACCATTAGCTAATACAATTGGTGATTTTTGGGACTGTATCGGCGATATTAATGAGGTAGATACCGGAGTCTGTGGATGTGGAGAAGATAAATTTGTTGTTTTGAGTGAAAGTTGCTGTAAAGATGTAGCGACAGGTTGTGATGAAAACTCTCGTTCATCTGATTTAGAAATTATATCAGATGATGAAGAGGATTGTTGTTGCTGTTCAACTGGTGTTTTGCTTGTAGTCGAATTTGACATTTGACTATCGGATGTTTCTTCTAAATAACAAGCAATCAGAAAAATAAAAAATAAATTATTCTATTAATAGAGTACTAAACTTACCCTCGTCGACAGACGAAGAAGGTGGTGGTGGAGGGAGAATCTTTGGGTTCATCGATACATGACAATCATGACATAAATAAACCTCGTGTTGTTGTTGATGTTCAGAAATTCGTTCAGTTTTATCAACAAATATATCCTCTCCACCATGTATTAGACGTTTACATTTTGTGCATGAAAAACAGTTAGCATGATAAACACATCCTTTGGATCGTCGAATATAATCATCAGATTGTATGATACCGTGGCATGATGCACAATAATGTCCAAAATGTCTGAAAACACAACAATAATAGGCGTATCTATTATCAGAGATGTTGTTAAAATCTCACTTGTAGAAGTCATCTTTACAAAATAACTTTCCATCTCGTGAATAACATTTATCAGATAAAATTGCACGACATGAATAACATTTTACACAATCAGGATGCCAGAAGCGATCGAGTACATTTGATATCAACGGATCATAAATACTTTGTGCACATCCAAAACATTGACTAACAGTTAACGGCATACTAAAACATAGAAAAAATGACAATATAATGTTGTTGTCATCAAATGCGAATAAGGAAACCTACTTTCGAACACTTTGCCGTGCTCCACGTATATTACTAATACCACGTCGTCTTTGCATATTTTTTCATTCAAAACAATAGATGTTAAATAAAATTCTGTAAACTTTAAGGAAACCTACAATAAAAAAAGATTTTTTCAAAAAAACTTCTAGTACAGGCTTTGAGAGCTTAGTTTAGTGTATCTGAGAGACTACGACACTGAGTATTTTCGCCTACGGGAAAAAATTAAGATCGATCAAATTGAGATGCCACGATAGGATTGAAACAATAATAGAGGTAAACCAATATAAAACAAGAACATATTTAATTTGTCAATAGATAACTTATCTTTTAGAAGTTCCAATCAATAAATGAGATGATAATCTATCGTGCGAAAACTAAATTGGCATCTCTCTCTCTTACTAAAATTAAATAAATATTGATACATATTTATTAGCGTATCAATATTTCTAACTAGATAGTGCGCAAATTTTTTGTTTCTGTTAAACTGTCATTTGTCTGTATAATGCATATATTAGAGAAAATAGCAAATCGTTTTTCTACACATTTTTTCTTTTTATATAATTGTAATGACATATTCGTATCCTAACTATTTTTCTTACATTTTATCAATGCTTTTTTTATTTTTCGTCAAACTTTCTGACATAATGTATTGTAAGAGAAACGTTTGTTCACATTAAATGTAGAAAAACGTTACGCCGTAAACTAGAACCGCATTTCATATAACGATCTCCTCTATAAATCCATTTACACATACTGAACACGATAGAAATTTGAAATGAAATTCCTGTGTTGACATCGCTTTTGCAGGAATTAACAACAAATAGTAGAAGTAGTGTTCAAAGTTTTTTTCATTTAAATACTGTCGTTGTCCAGAAACAACAAAATAAATGCACAAGAAAATGATGTAGCAAATACCCTGTCAGCTTCAATGATTTTCTTTTCTTTAACATTAGATTCGGTTATTTCTGTCATCAAATGATATTGACCAACATGCTTTGAACGATGAATACGCACATCGACTAAATTCAATAAACATATGGTCATCGAAGAATAACTCATTCGCCCAACTAAACCATCATATCTATGGAAAATTGATGAGAAATTGAAAATATCACTCCTGCTGGGAAAACAGATGGAAAGATATTACACCAGTAAAAAATTGATAGGGATAAATCCAATAAAAAATGGATTCAAAGATATTGCTGATCAATAAGAGAGAAAAACCAAATGATGAATGACATTCAATCTTGCATTTAACCACTGGCAAAATAGAGGTATCTTCGACGGATAGAATGAACTAATATTCTAAACGAAACATCTATATTTGTTGACTTCTATGAGTTGCAGTCATTCGATACAAACTGCCTGTTTGTTTTATTCTATCCCACGATTTTTATTTCGTTCTATACAGAATAATAAAATGATAATAAACATTTCTATCACCTATAGTCAATAAAAATCCATTGTCAAGTTATGATTTTGATTAGTTAAATTTTTCATCATTTAAATTCTATATAAATAAAACCAAATAAATTAAAATAATATAAAAACAACATTCATCTATAAAACAATAAATGATACAGTTTTAACATTTGGAAATTGATTAACCATTGGAGTAAGAAACAAAGGTATTAAATAACTACAGATGACGAAAATGTTTTCTGTCAGACTTTACGTTAATCAGAAACAGACATAAAAAATGATCTGAACCTTTTTTCCTGAATGCAATATGCATATAGTAGATTCACTATATATTTTTCGCTAAGTAGACCATTTTCATCTTGTAATCAACGAGTTGGATCTTATTCGGCTCTGCGAATCGAGCCTGTTTGGTTCTTCCCTTTATATAACAGACCACGTTTAATACAATAAGCTTCTTAATGTATATTGACACTATCTCCACGAAATCATGCAACTGAATTGGCTGAAACATCTAATTTTATTCAACATACATTACATAACGATCTTAAACTGCATATTCGTCTTGAGAGAATATTAACTCATGAGCAGTTAGAAGTAGCTTATTATTTTATCGTGTTAAAAGTGTTCTATTTTTTATTTTCTTTGATAAATAGTTCAAGCAAAGTTCCTGTAATATAAGACTTATTTTTTGATCGACTTTGGCAAACCCTTTGAATAGCTGAAGCTCAAGCAATTAGATGAAACAATTAGACTAACCAGAAACTGTAGTTGATGACTAGTAAAATAGTGGGTGATCATCTTCGAAGACAATCTCCGGAAGACAAAAGAAAGAATTACTCAAACTTTCAACGTATAACGATCCTTTTTAAGCGCAGTCAACATAAAGTAGAAAAGACGAAAATAAGATTTCGTTGCCAGAAGATAGAACTCGCTTTTCAAAGGCAGGAACCACAAATCTACGTGCTAACCAAATTGGAACTTTAATAAACACCAAGTTGGTATTGACTGAATGATCTCACTTGCGATTTCGATCGCGTACATTTGTTTAGCTCCCATTCATCTCTGCCAAACTTAACCTTTAAACATCACCGACAGAAGTAGTTTAGTGCGACAATTGAAACGATTGCAGATGAAATTCATCAAACAACTTGATACCTACTGAAATCGAAGTTTTTTGTTTTTAATGCTAATCTTATCTTAAAAGTTATCAATATTTAAGTACAAAATGGACTGTTTGAGGACTAACTTTTGCGGAACCTAACTGAACATTGAAATGGTAGCCAAAGGAAGATTATAACTTAACTTATCATGTGCAAGCGGCCAGCTTGAGTTCTATAACACTTGAGACCTCATTAGTCCATTCAGGGCTTTTATGGTGAAACTAGAGAAAGGAATCAGCACTTGAAAAACACAAACCTTTTGTTTATTTGACTTTAATTTTTTCTCTCATATTCTTTTCCAAGAAAAAAGCTTTTTTTTGTTAAAAAAAGAAAGTACTGAACTAGGTGTCGCTCCTTTCCGCTTACATATGCTTGCCGGCTAAGCTGAAAAAGTCTATGTTGTTTCATTTGTCAGGTCGATATCCTACAGCAAGGTTAATTGCACTGAAAATTTAGTAAGCTACTGCAACAGCTTAAAGTCAGCCATTAATCCGGTCATTTCATAAAGCCGGAGCAATGGCTGAGTTCCACTGCCGAATCGTTATCTAGTAAGCCATCCAAATGACATTTTTAAT